AGGCGCCAAAGAAAAGTCAAAGTCGAGTTCGAGTTGAGTCTCCTTTACCCGAGTCTGAGTCTTCAAGGTCTACTGTATCTTAAACAGAACTGACACAGCTCCCACCATTTTAAAAGGAGTTGTGTGAGACACAAAAGCCACACAAATGTTTCCAGCAAGAGTAAAGCACACACTCACTGTACTTCTTTATGCTCATTATTTTCATTTGAACTGATCTGCTCAGATAATGTCAAACATTTTAGTACATTTGATGAAACAAACAAACAAGCAAAATGTCTTGCAGGTGCGCACACACTTCTCTGACTGGCTTATTCAGATGCCACTGAGATGAGAGGAGCACTCAGTAGCTTAGGCCTACCTGATGGGGAGAGCCTGAGAGGCCGAGCAGGAACAGATGGGCAGAGGACAACAGGATACTGGGAATGAGGGAAAAAGGGAGGGAAAGAAGGGAGAGAGAGCATTGACATTCAGGGACCAACATCATTGCTGCCCGCACCCGACTACATTTACCACCACCCTCTTGCCCTCATCCTATTCCACCAAATTCATTTGCAGCACAGTGATTCTCAGCTGTAATGAATCTGCGATTTGCATACATATGTACAGTGCCTAACATCATACTTTGGAATCTGTTTAACCCTGATGGAAACATTTACAAACAAGTGACCACAAGGAGTCATCAATCTGCACATTAAACTCTTACTTGCCTTTGGGGGATTGCACTATTCTCTATTATGGGGTTCAGAAAGGACCAAAGAAATGGCAAAACAGGGGAGAATGAAAATAATTCCTTTCAAAGCAGACTACAGAGGCAGTTAGCCAAGTACTAACAAGACAGAGCTATGGTCATTTGAATCCCTATCTTCTCTATGCTTTAGGGAAAAAATAGGATCAAACTAAAGTGACAGATTTATAATTTAAAGAGTTACTGAGTTGAAACATCTGGAAAGGCATCTCTCTAAAGTGAAGGACTGATAAATTTCCTACATTTCCTGTAAGGAGCAACACAAGCTAGCGCTGCTGTATTTTCTCCCTGAAGCTATGTCACTGTATTGTGTGTATTTGTATGCATCAGGGATTGAGTATCACATAAACAGTTACAGGACATTTTGTCTTCTCGACGTGTGCAACCCAGTATGTGTCTCATGCCACCGCGCCAGGGAGCCCTGGGTGGCTTAAGTTACTCAAGCCATGTGTATCCTTTAGCCAAACAAGGCCTAAAGACACTCCAGGGTGGTACAGAGGAAGGAGGGGAGGAGAGGCTAAAGGCGAGGCAGTGTAGTCCAATGGCTGAAGCCAGTGATTTAGAGGCTGTTGATACAGGGCAGACAGCCTAGATTCAGTTACTGACTCACTGTAGATGATGCTGCATAAGTCACTACACTTAAAATGTCCTCATGTGTTTAGATCTGTTCAAGTGGAAATCAGTCACACTCACAGAGCTGTAAATCGCTACTGGATCTGATCTTCTTGTTTCTCTCTCGCTTTTCTTTACTTTTATAAATATGGAAGAGGCTCATTAAGCCCTTTTCAGGACCATTAATGACACTGTGAACACATTCTGAGCTCTGTATGTCTGAGCGTGTACGGCTGCCAAAGCTGGGCCATTAAAGATGGCGTGAGAGTAACATAATGCTGCTGTGGGCTGGAAGGTGAGAGGTGGATGCCATGAAAGAAAAGTACACACATGGCTGAACAGCTGTTAGCGGTGGGCTGACATTGATGGTTTCATGTTAGTGGTTTAGTTGAATGGTAATGGGACTTCAGCACCGGAGATGAATTTGATGCTGTTGCATCAGTTTGATACATGGCATGCATTGTACTGTATGCGCTCGATAGTAGAGGGGAATACAGCACAGTCGTATTGTCAGATAAGTACAGCCTAATACTATAGCACATGCATCTAGCATTGTGGAGGTGATGTCAGTGGGTGAAATTGGAAATCAACTATAGATCAAATCCTATAGTGGGAGTCCTGTTAAGTTATTGCATCAAATACCAATATAGCTTTAGGATTCATCATCTTATGACCACAAACATCTCACATTTTGGTGGACCTACCAACAGACACACAAATACACCAACATCACCATCCATTATGCTGCAGCATGAGGCACAGACAGGTCAAGTTTCTAATTTAAGCATATTTAAAAGGAAAAATCAAAATGGGAAAGATTCACCTGAAAATATGTCACTGGAAAATGTTCAAAAGAAAAATGTAAAAGTTCATAGCAACGTCACAACAGACTGATTCCAGTACAGCTATTTGGAAAAAACATTCTGTTCTTTTCATGTTTACACATACTGAATCAAATAATGGCCAAAAATCCTACTTTTTTGCAGCTTCACAAATGATCCCTGCTGGACCCACACCTCTAACAACACCCAGAGACAAGTCTAGGCGGACTTATGAACTGAGGTGTGAGGTAGTGGTTTTGCCCTGCTTGGAATGGAAAAATTGAGAAAGCACAAGCCGAGTTCTGTCACCAGACCTGTTGTGTATGCTCACAGTTATGATGCTGAGTTATGAAGCAAACAATGCAGAAACACAGTGGATAGAGAGACCTGAGTAAACTGTCAACATCTCCTCAGTCTGAGAAACAGATGAAAGTGAGGGCTCACAGAACTCCAGACTCATACTGTTGATCCTTATGTGGTCACACACAAACCTAACCATGATCCTCTGGGATATCCTCTCAGTTCTGAGCGCATAAGAATTCCCCTTCTGACCTTGCGGAAATAAAAGGGTAAAGCAGGAGGTTTCTTTTGGGGGAATTATGATTCAAGTGTAGATCAACACTGAGATACATGTATGAATCCTAATGAGCCTAATTAAAGCAGAGAGAGCTTCAGAATTTACTTTAAACCTTATTTATTGCAATGCAATTCAATAAACATAGTAAATCCAAAAATACTGTTTTAAATAATGTGGAATGCAAGTATTGCCTGAGAAGACACTATATGGCTGTTTGCGCATTTCTTCATGTGTATGCATCTGTGTTCATCTGCTCTGAGTCTGTGCCTCACCAGGACTATTTCAGCTTAGAACTGCAGTCTGTCGAACTGTGATTCTCTCTAATGGTCTATCTCTCCTAGCAGATGTATTATTCTTTGCTCCGCAGCTGCATCCCACATGTTTTCACGCTGTTCCACAAGGCAGTTATGTTCTTTTTCTCTGCTTAAAGCGCTAGTGTTGTTGGTGGTGGTAGTAGTGGTGGCAGATTCATTCTCTCCATATGTGCTTCGTTCCTTCCCTCCTTTACATCCAAAATACAGCAGCAGAACTTTGGCTATGCTTGGTCCTGAAATGTCTCTTGTTGGGTAACGTTAAATGTAGAGGCTGGGAGGGGGGGTCAGATCTGGCAGGGTCTGCCATGGCTTCATAGCACACATAGTCATTTCCATAATTGCCCACAATCAAACCAACCCCTCCTGGATTCCACCCGCTCCAGATTCCTGTAGATAAGCTGAGCTGGAGCTTTGGTGAGTGCCAAAGACCCCCAAGTAAGAACAGGTGCCACTAATGTAACTGATTTCAGATTCTCTGAGTATCCACAAAGGGGAGGGGGGGGAGGCTGTTTGTCCAGTAATTGCCATGGTTGGACATTCCCTTTCAGATCACTATCATGTGACTTTCTTGAAGAGGGGAATGAAAGAGGATTTGTCCCACATTTGGTTTTATCAGGAGCCAAAATAAGATGCCTTACAATTTAGGGCAACAAATAGATGGGCATCAGGTGACTGATTCCCATCGTAGCCACTTTTCCACTGCCTACAGCACAGACATCTTTCTGTGACTACCAGAATAAGCCTTTAATATCATTTTTATAAACAAAGTCAAACACCTAAGACACAGTTAGCAACATAATATTCCCCATTTTCATAATGTTAGTATCTCCCAAAACGTAAATTATTCACGAACAGAAACAAGCCATGTTTAGCCAACATCAATTTTAAAGGTTTGGCTCTTGTATAGCAAAGTTGCATAAAATACTCAAGAGATTATAGGCATCATATTCCAAGTACCTCATAACTGTACTATAGTACAGTTTTTTGAGTGACTGCACTCCACATTCAACTGAATATGGAAGACATTTTCAGGTGTAGCAAACAATTTTAATAAGACATAATTATGTTTGCATATAATGACCATGAAGTTCATTGTTCTGCTGGAGAGAAATAAGGCTAGCTCATATTGGATTGGACACAGAACGTTAGTAGACAGAACTATAGTCATTTGCCAGTTACCAATCATAATAAGTCATTAACTATGTTTTGTTTACATTATACATTTAAGACTTAAGAGCTGGATATTGTGAGGTTTTGCTTTCACGGTCGATTGAGCCCAGCAGTGAGACTCCCACCGCATACATCCACTCGCTGTGCTCCGATGTGCCAGGTAACCTCGGCGTGGACGCGACTGTGGCCACATGCGCGCTTCCGCGAAGTCATACGTCACCGTGCTCGCTCCTCTTCTCGCGCGCTGGTTAAAAAGAAGGAGGAAAGAGCACGAGAAAACATGTGAGCGCTCTGAGGACTTTAGTGAGAGACAACTTTTATTTTCTTATATGTTTTGACCCCGTGCATGCACAGACCGTCGTACTCTACTCAAAAGGAATTACATCTGAAAGGAACGTCACGGCTCTTTTGCACTTCACAGTGTTTTGAATTTTTGTGTTCACCAGGATAAATTGTGTTATTGCTTTACTTTTATTTTATTTTTGATTCTGAGCTGTACTATGTAAAGAGAAGCAACAATAATTTATTTTAAAACACATTTCTTTGTGGTAGTGAATCAAATTTCGGATACCTGCTCTGATAAAGGCATATTTGTCATTTTTTGTGTGGAAATTGACTTCTGCTACTTGGAGAAATAGCAAGCAAAAATTCCAAATAAAAAAGTATATAGCCTATATTGCACTGCAGGTTAACCCCAGCCTTTCCAAAAAAAAAAAAAAAAAAGGGGGGGGCGGGGGGGGGGGGGGGAGGACCTTTTATATTTCACCTTTTCCTAAATTTAATAATTTTTACACAATGAAGCATTTGCAATTTGTGCTCGTCCTGGCCATCGCGGTCAATGTGTGGGAATGTGGAGACGCAAAATTCGGCGAGAGGGGAGAAGTCAGCCCCAGGAGGAGACGGTGTTACGACGGAAGCTTGCCCAAGCGGCTGAAAAAAAGGGAGCGAAAAGTGTTGCTTGACGGCAGCAGCAGCGGAGAAGTTTGCCACAGGTTGTACCCCCGCGTGTCCTGCTGTCCCACCAGGAGAGCTGCCTATCAGATCCTCCACAGCAGGGATGCCAGGGTAGGTTAACGTCCACCCACAACGTTGCATTTAAAGGACTGGGATTTTATTGCTAAAACGCCGGAGGTGATGCATTTACAGCCCTTGTGTATTGTCTTCTGTCTTGTATTGCCAGTAGCCGAATTTTGGGATGGGGAAATTGCTCTGGGGTATGCTGCCGCTGATTGTCCCAATGAAAAGGTTTTATTTTAACGTTCATACAGAGACGTGCGTGTCTGTGGCACTCAGTGGTAGGTGGTCTTATCCTGTCTTTTGGTTTTTATTATTGCCCATAAGTTAGCTTCCGTAAAATCCGCACTTGTGATGTGTTTTTAGTCGCTTATTATGTTATGGTAATAATATCTTTAAAATTCTCCGATAGAACACTTATTTTGTTCGTACAATTTGTGTTCGTCCATCCCGTAACTGTTTCCTTATTTCTTGTTTTGCTTATCTCCTCTGAAATTAAGTTAATTTCCAGGTTTCAGGGTTAAATTTCCATCTTGTTTATCTCTTGTCCAAAGCGCTTCAGCGTTACCATGGTAATCACTCGCCGATTTCCTTCTCCCTACTACTGTCATCAGAAATGGGTACTAGCTAAACTGTTGAACCGTTTACCTGTAAAGGTAGGACCTCAGTTGTACATTGTTACCACTGAACAGTTTTCTTGTCGTTTGTTTAACAGCCATTCATTGTCAACATTTTCTCGGAATTAATGTTAAGATAACATGAATTTCCAAGCCTAATGCATTGACCAAATGTACCTAGCCGTCGCATTTACCTGACATTCGTAAACGTTATGGCATCGACCGAAGTGCAAAATGGCATGTAAGCTATGGGTCTAAACTTCAGCTGTTCAGCTGCTGTTGGGGGAAAGGCAGAAAAAGCGACAGTATGCCCAAAACTTGTAGCGGATTTCGTTGGATCCTCACCGGACCATTCTCATGTAAACCACTCCTCGAGTCATCCAGTGGCTGGGTGGTATCTCACTTTGTGTTACGACAAAAAGCCATATTGCACCATTTAATTTGCTCAAGTCATGCAAATAAGAGGGGGAAAACTGAAAAGGAGGAACTCGACTTCTCCTCCTCCCCACTACACTGCCCACACACAGAGTCCTTTCTGATTATGGCAAAAGAATAACAACGCCATTGTGTTTATTGGTTTCGTTAATGGGAGAAGCTGGAGAACATCACTCTCCTCCAGTCATCAGCCTTGTCCAAGTGTTAACGTTAATGCCTTTGAGAGGGTGTGTGTCCTTCACTATATGCCCCTGCCAACCAACTTACACCTACAGTTTTCCTTGAGGACAAGTGTTTTGTTAAAGCTTAGTGTTGCCTACATCCGTGCTCTCCACCTCTCTCCCATTCTCTCTGACCATATGAGGGACAATTGGTACTGTGTATTAATATGTTTGCTCTGACAAAAACATGCAGAGGCTATTATAGAAGATGTAAGATAATCCTGTAACAGCAGTTCTCCTATGCATTGCAACTTGGTGTGAAACCAGCTTTAGCAGTTGCTACATAAACCTTTGAAAGAGCCGGGGAATAAGTTAGTAATAGTTTTCCTATATCATTATACTGTAGCTCCATGTTTCTAATTATAGCTGTTTTCTTGACTTGCTTTAGCATATTCTCAGCATAAATGCAACAGCTGAGCTTCATTGCCATTTTGTCCCAGTTTTTGAGGATCATACTCACTAAGATTCAGCAAAAGACAACAAAGGTCCACTTGTTCTAGTTTGGATGATGGCAACATTGGAGCCCATCCCAGCAACATATGGACACAGGGCATGGCTGAGTGCACACAAATGCTACTCTCTGGCACACAATATCAATGGGTAATTTAGAGCAGGAGGGCAGGCATGCCCACAGCACTACATGGCATGAGTGTAGAGGGCATGGAGACAGAGGAACACACCACACGTACAGGGTCATAGCCAGCCTGGAGCTCCCTTTTTCAGAAAAATGTCAACAGTTAGACAAAATGTAGAAAACAGATGGGATATCAATCAGCTTTTTTTTTTTTTTAAATAGAAACTCAGATAACCTAGGATTTATTGTCCCTTTTCAATTAGTTCTGTAAACTGGCTTTTGTAAATGTGTGTGCATAAGTATATTTTTCAGGTAGTCCCTCAGGGTTTTCCAGAGGTTCTGCCACCTGTTGGGTAAACAGCTCTGTATAGCTTTTAAACAGAAAGGCTTTTCCTCAGTTGCAATTTGTTCTGCAATCAGAAAGTGTAAGGCATCCATATGTTGGCCTTGGGTCCACTGGTGTAATTGACTTCGACAGACTGATAATTTGTTGATACCAGAGTGGGAATGATGTGCCTGTCTATCTCTAAATTGGTGTTTACACACGGACCTCACACAGAGCAAAGCACTGCCAGCCTGCCTGCCTGCATGGCTGCCCAAGCAGCACCACTCTTGACCTAAAACAGATTACATTGTGTTTTATTACAGCTAATTTGTTATGTAAATAATCCTGCTAATTTCTTTTGGATTAACTCTTTGTGTACTTTAGTGTAATTACCCCAAATCAGGCTTTGAGGCTTATTTGGCTTCATTCAGTTTATGTCTTAAGATCTGTCAGACATCGGAACTGTAATTTGACTTTAACTGTTTGTGATCTTGGGTAAGTAGGCAGTGAATAATGATACGATTTCTTTGTTTACTGAGGGTGTTCCAACACCAATTTATAACAAATTGGTATAAAAGAGTATAGAAGTGGATATTATAGCTGTTATACTGTATTATGATGTCATCCAACTGATATAATTCAGTTTGTGCACGTGAGATTGCCAAAAGAAAGTTTTCAATAAGAAAATGAGAAGTGAGGTAATAACCACCATTACCAGTGAAAATTTGGGGTTCTTTAGCAGTGAATGGAATGCTTTCATTTGTGCATATTGTGGTAGAGATGCTGCAGGCCTTAATACTGTGCAAATGACGGACTTCCTCCTTATTCTGCATTCTACAGATGATGCTGTTCAACATAATACTAACCCTAAGAATAACTATCCAAACTTAACTGTGTGTCAAATATGTAAATAATGCAGAATATAGACAGACTCCATGATAACTGTCTCGGGCAGTCAGAACTGGATTTATGGCATCTAGTTTTGTGTCACACCTTATATCAGTAATAGAATATCTCACTTTGCATGTGTCATAGGGTGTTGTTAACATACAGTTGCTATATAAATGTACTGTTGTATCTTGAGAGTAATTGTATTTAGTAGAGATCATTACCTTTTTGTGCAGTGCCTAGAATTGGTATTGGCTAAGTTGGAGCTGTTAAATGGGAAAGTCTGGTGAGGACTCTGTTTCAATCAACAAACAAAACATTTAACTAAAACACATTACATGGGCTGGTATATATGTATTCTAACTATGAAAAAATTAGGTGAATACTTTTAAGGGCCTTTCCAAAATAATTGGGATTCACTGAGATCAGTTGTTAAAGTGCTTAAAAATCTCAACAGTGTTTTAAGTTGTCAGGAATTTATGATAATGAAGACTTGAAAATGCACCCTGCAATGTAATTTGTTTCTGCTTTGTAGTGTGTTTATGATGTTAAAGTTGCTAAGTGTATATGCTAAACTGCATGTTGGCTGGTCTGTGTGACGTAAGAGGTAAAAGTTAACAGCCCACTGTTTTAACCAGCCATTGGTCCTTGTTGTGTGTGGTCTCCAGATTTTCTCCACCAACAACACTGAATGTGGACATCTCCTGGAGGAGATCAAGTGTGCTCGCTGCTCCCCCAATGCCCAGGTGTTGTTCCAGTCCTTTGATATGGATAAGATGCCACACAGGGAGCCAGACCTGCCGCATCTCTGCAAGGACTTCTGCCGCGAATTCTACTACACCTGCAGGGGGCACATACCAGGTAATTACGCAGATAATAAGACCATGAATGTGTACTTCAGTTACAACCCCTGGGTGGTTACCTGATGATATGCAAGTAAATATACATACACACGTATAGAGGAAGTGAAAGAAGGTGTAAGTTATAACTGCCAAGTTCAGTTTCTAATATACTGTATGTGAAATTAAACTGATGCATCTGATTGTGATATATTAAAATTCACACTAGACCTCATTTCTTATTGAGACTCTGCCTGCACATGTAGAATTGGCAGATCCGACTTATGCAAGAATTGGTGCGTCAGTAGTCTAGTGAAAAATTATTCATCCAGATTTTACCTCATCTGACCTCACCTCTGTTTTTTGCTGAGCTTGTCTCATCCATTTGCTCACTCGCTGCCTTGGTTCTTGCTTTACTGTTGCACTTTAATGCACCAGTAAAATCACTTGCCACACACTGCTCATACAGATGCAACACCAGTTTGCTGATTAGTCTACAGAATGATCTAACACATTTGGTTTAGCAAATCGCAGAGCAATATTTGTTCCGTTTATGACACAGTAGTCAGTGAGCTGTTTTTGTGGTACCAGGTGCTAGGTTTGTTCAGATCATGCAGGTTTATTTTAATCAACATGCTTTTGCAAAAATGTGACTTTTTTAAGACCTTGAGCGTAGAAACAATACACAGATGTTAGGCGTTTCTTGACAAGTGAATGGAAAATATTAGATCTGCAAAGCTGAGTGTGAAAACAAATTTCTTATATGTACTAACAAAAGCAGGACCATCCTGACCAGTGTACCAGAAAATGTAACTAGAGAAGAATGAGCCTTTTTATGAACTGTTCCTGGACACTGCTCACTAGACTCAACTCCTGAAGATGATTCTGTTTTCAGGATGCATTAGCACCCTAGGCGTGCTGTGGTCTAGACATGACTGCACATTGCTTTTCTCAGACATAAACTGTCACTTAAAAACACGTGTCTCATGCTCTGCCATGACTGTGTTTTTAATTTGTGTAATGTTCACATTAATCTAAACAGCTGAAACATTGCTTTGCTGGCCCCTGTTTCATCTGATTATGAGCTTTATTATGAAACAGCAGAATCCACAGAACAGGGAAAGCATTCAGTGATGCAACGGATTTCCTTGTGGATACTGTACTGTTAAATGACAGGAACCCTTCTCCCCTCTGAAAGCATTTGGATATGCAAAGAATTTCCTTTCAAGGGATGTAAGATCACAGGTACCTGTGCCTTCACAGTGCATACCATACATGATGGAACACTTTTTGACTGTCTTTTCTCTTCCAGCCTAGTCTTCTTCCTGATTAGATCTTCCAAGATTTGCAAACAGAGAACTGTTTCAAACACACTTGTCTTCAACCCACCCACATGGTATGCTGCAGCTCAAGTTAAATATTAAACAGACATTCCACCTGAGTCCATCCTTGCCTACATCTAATGGCCTTGTGGCATATCATGTACAACATTTGGACCTGTCTGGAGTTAGATTGCTTTCTCGGAAGCTGACAGACATATGGGCTCAGCGAGTCAAACCAAAAAAGCTCACGAGAGGAATCCAGAGAAGGATCCTCCCTCCCTCTGCTCCTCCCTCTTAACCTCCCTTCTTACCCCCACCCCTCCCTGCCTTCCACAGATCAGCATATGTGGTGACGAATGACACATTTATTTTTCTACAAAGGTTGTGTGTATGTAAAACTGCTGAAGTGCATCAAGATGTCAAGTACTTTGGGTGGGCCACCCAGGTTGCCTTGGAAGATAACCAGATGGAAGTATAACTTTAGAGCTGGGGAGCTGAGAATATGGACAGAGTTCTGTCTCCCTCTCTGTCTCTTTCTCTCCACCTATCTCTGTTTTATTCCTCTCTTTCTCTTTCTTGTCTTTTTTCTTTTGCATTCTCTTCCACTTCTTTTTATTCTTCTCATTTTCTCCTGTTTTTAATGTTTTTTTTGTTGAAGCCTCTGGATTTACATTACATAACAATTTTACAACAACTTTAAAAATACACATCCTACTAAATACAAATACTCATTAGGTTGAATCCTCTTGCAGAGACAAATCTCTCCCATGGGGCTATATGCATTATTTGCATGAACAAAATTAATACTTTTGGCATTTTGGCAAATTGTTGCTGGAAATATTCTTAAATTGTGGATCTGTATCATGAACTGACTGTATGAAAGGACCTTACTTTTGCTAATTCAGAATCACTGGACAAAGGTTTTAAAATTAAACAGTAGCTTTTGCAGCATCCATAACTGTCATCCTGATTCCATGAAACTTAGGCACTTATTTAGCCCCTATTTCTCCAGGAAAACATTTACAGCCATGACTCTAACTTCACCTAGAAGCCTCGCACCTTTCCTGCACTCCTCTATCTTCCTTCCCTCTTCACTCATCCTCGCACCCTCCACTCAAGGTCCCCGACCAGCATGGTTAAGATAACTGTAGACACAAGTGGGTGGGTGGTATAGCAAGAGCTGTGTGTGTGTTTATATGTGTGTTTGATCTTCATGTTGTGTTTAGATGTTTGAGGGGATATCCTATCACCTCCAGTATTTGCTGCGGTCAGCCCTTGTGGTTGGTGTGTGGCAAGAGAGGGAGATGAAAGGAGGGACAGGGAGAGTCCTGTTTGTGTTTTTATCACTGGTTTGCTCTCTTCTGTCCTCTAAGGGATTGACTAAAGGAAACAATATTGCCAAGATTGTTTTTAGGTCACAAAGAGCCTTTGAGACCCACTGCACACTTTGCTTTTTGCCGGGAATAATGTTATAACTCCGCTGGCTGGAGACATAGATATGTGGGACTGCCATATTTATGCAGATCACTTTTTGCTTTGGCACTGAAACATTATAGGTAGACCGGGAGGCCACAGGGAAATAAGGAGCGATGTGATGGCAGTTCTACCTTGAATTCACATGTAAAAATAGTAAAACACTGTCAGCCCATAGTTGGGAGCGTGATGTTTTTGTTGATCAATTCAAGCAAAAAATGCCTCTCACCCTGACAGCATCTTTGTTTGTTCACAATTAAATCCCATATTTAACAGCTTGATTATTTAATTTGACATGCCGCACCCATGTGTTGCTCAATAATGCAAAACAGGTAGACTTGTTTGAAGCAGAGAACAAGTGGTTGGTTTTTGCAAAGAGAGAACCATCATCCACTGTCATCAACAGCTGACTACACTGGAGTGACCTTTTGACATGCAGCCCTTGAGAGACCAAGTTCAAACTTACATCTCAATTACTGTGTGCAGCTAGAAGGCCGTTTATTCTCGTTGCTGATTTAAATGTCCTAGAAACAGCCTTACAAAGCTCTGAGGTAATGTGACAAAAAATTTAAATTTTTATCTGAGTTTCAGTTTTTGTGATAGTGTTTTTCAGTTGATTCTCTTTGTCTGATATACAGTGTAGTTTTGTTTTTGTTGATAGTTTGGGTTTGTGTTGTATGTGTTCATGCTGTGTGTGTATGAGCAGAGTCTCTAGAACAGCTGGATGAGTGGAATCAAACTTTACTTTAAAGGGCTTGGTGATTTTGTGATGGTGTGTCAGGGAGGATGGCTTCACTTGGTAGTAGAGGATGTAAAGTTTTTCTTTGCATGCACCATTAGTTGAAATGAAACAAGATAAGCTGAGGTTTTAACAAACATTTAGTCATTTTTCAACTTTTTTCTGCATATGCAGTATGATATTCTCAGTGCCAAAGAGAGGAAATGTCAGCCCTTATCACTTCTGATCTTGCACTGTGTCTATTTCAAATTATTTATCATGTACTGCAGCCGAGATGTCCACCTCCTGAACAAGCTTGATGTGTCTTGTAGCTGCTTCCAAGGAATTGGTATTCATTTCCGATATACTTTCCATTTCTTGTTCTCCCATTAGTATGTACTGTCAGTTTTTCATGGACAGTTGGTGTACACTGATAGTACAGGCGTTGGAGTGAATGCAGCCTCTTCATTGCCTACTTAGACGCTGAACAGACTTGAAAGAAACTTAGGATCAGAGTTTTTTTTTCATAGGAATTCATTAGGACTAGTGCACAAGCATCATTTCATAAATCAAAATAAAGACAGCATAAGCTAAAATATAGAATGTAGCCTTTTTGCTCTCTGGAGGAGGCATAGTTCACCGCAGAGCCATGTCTAAGCTATGACCCATTTGATTTGGCCCAGTTTCTTTTACTTGTTTATTTCAACCCAGTCTTGTCAGAATTTGGTTTGGCTCATCAAGTAAAACTCCAACCCTCCCCTACACACAAGCACATCACATCCTTTCTCTCTTCATCTGACCCTCACTCTTTCGTCCTCTCTTGCACATACTTATGAATACACACATACAGTACACTAACTATATGCTGCAGGCGTGCACACACAACTAAAGCACCATTAAACTATGTTAGGAGAATAGTCATTGAATTTTCACGATATAGCGAGCTGCACGAGTCTAGTGTAGGAAGTCATTTAACCATGCAGTAATAAAAGTAAGTGTAAGACCCTCTGTCTATGTCTGTATCTGTTATCTTTGCTAGAACTTTTCCAAGCCGATGTGGATGAGTTCTGCCAGTACTATGGGAGGAGAGATGCCAGCCTATGCTTTCCAGATTTTCAGCGAAAGCAACCACCAAGGCAAGATTCCAACTACTTGGGAGATGAGCAAATAGAAGAATTCAGCAGGTTTGTAGTCTTTGCCATGTTTTATTCCATTTCAGCACTGAGTTACACTATGGAAGATGTATATATTATTATTTTGAATATGTTTCGGCTAGTTATTTAAATGTGTTTCAGCCAAGGGAACTTTTCTGCTTTGTTCGTGCTTATGAGAAAAGCTGTACCATTTCTCCTTTAATCCTAACATTTATCTATAAAAGTCCTTAAACTGTCATTCTGTTTGCCCCTTACTGCAAAGGTCTGTATATCACAAAGAGCTTTGCCATTGGGGGTGGGGGGTGAGTGCCTTTCATCTCTGTTTTCCCTAAGGCAAGAAGGCCAAGCAGCTTATGCACCTGAATGGCAGCAACAAACAATCTGTCTAATAACTTCAGAAGTTTAAGAGTCAGGCACTCATTTGTCACTGCTGCATTTTATTCTTTGAGAGGTCTACTTAGGTAAAGGACAGTAAGCAGGACTTTTCCTGTGCTGGAGGCTGGAAGTGCCAAAATTAAGTCCAGGTTACTGGACATCATTACTTTTGTTTTTTTGGAATTAAGGCACAGAGCTCAAATGCCCACGTGTTCCTTGTGGAAGGTCACACTTTTTGTAACCAGTGGCATGTTGCTCACACTGGGAGCACACAGAAAGCAGAGTAAGACAAGAAGGAATCCATCATTATACATTACCAGTGAGTGTGGTAGTTGGCTACGGGTTGGTGTCAATTATCCAGTCACATCACCTTCTATTATCCCCCTTAAAATCAGTGCACTTTGCACCCAAGTGGTTGAGTTCACTGGTGGGGAAGCTGACCTTTTCTCTACAGCTCGGTGGCTTGCACAGTGACGATATGGTAGGGTTAGTTTGAGCGTCCTGTGCTGCTGAGGGGTGCTAGTGACACAGTGGTTAGCGCACAGCAAGAAGGTTCTGAATTTCAGCCCAGGCTGACCTGGGGCTTTTCTGTGTGGAGTTTGCATATTCTCCCTGTGCCTGCATGGGTTTTCTCCAGGTACTCCACCTTCCTCCCACAGTCCAAAAACATGCACTTTAGGTTGATTCGGGATTCTAAATTGCCCGTAGGAGTGTATGTGTGTGCATGGTTGTTTGTCTAAATGTCAGCACTGTGATAGACTGTCCAGGGTGTACCCCGCCTCTCACCCAATGTCAGCTGGGATTGGCTCCAGCCCCCCCCCCCGTGACCCTATTCAGGAATAAGCGGTATAGATAATGGATGGATGGGATTCTGGTAGAAGTTAGATACAAAAATGAAATGTATTTGTGTCTTGCATTTAAAAGCCTTTACTGGTTAAGAAGTTAAGAATACATAATGAATGTGAACTGAACAAGCAAAGAATTCATAAGACACAACAATTAAATAATGAAAATAGCACATGTGGGTCAAGCTGGTGCATAGTAGATGGCACAAAACAATTTATGTATGCTTCTCTGTTTCTCCTCCCACCTTGGTGAATGGCAAGATACCAAATTAGTAAACCAGCAAAGGTGTGAAAAACCAAAATGTAACATCAGTCTTCTCAATTCAGAACCAAGATATGACATTGAAAGAGTAATCAGAAAGGTTGAGAGACAGTAGGTTAAGTCAAATCTGAAGAGACAAGTCCTTAAGACCAAGACAGCAAAAAATCATTTTTTGTTCAATCATCGTCTTATTGTTGATAAATTTATGCTTCCTTCCTAACACTACTACTTCAGTTCCCCAATACTCAGATTATTCACCGTCATCAGTCACTGACCTTTTGTATCTCCTATGTTACCCAGGAAACACAAACACAACTGCTACTGTGCCCAGGAGGTGTTGAGTGGTCTGAGGCAGCCGGTGGCTGTGGTGCACTGTGGGGATGGATCCCAGCGACTCTTTGTCTTGGAAAAAGAGGGAATTGTCAGGATACTCAACCATAACCTGGAGCTAATTAAGGAACCCTTCCTGGACATCCACAAGCTGGTGCAGAATGGCTTGAAGGTAGGGTTAAGCCTCCCTTCATGGTGTTAATTGTGTTGAAGGAATGTAATGTGACAATATGGGTGTAATTTGAACATATTTGCAACCAAGAAGCAGAAAAGGAAAGGAACGTGGCTGATGGAATATGAAATATTTTCTTGTATTTCAACAAATTATATGTTCTTGAAATATGTGCTTGGTGTCTCTGGAAGTAATGCAAGATGTAGACAAGTAATATGTAATATGGCATATAATGTCATTCTCTAATGATAAATTCAATTGCAAAGACACTGTGACCTCCAAGGTATCGCTGGAATTTATTTATTTTTTTAATCTGTATTCCTTATGGCATGTCAGAGTTTGAATTTGAAAATTGTTCAGAAATTCTTTCGATCGTCCAACGAGATGGTAGCTGGGATGTTTACAGCACACACTTCCAGACAGGAAGTTTATCTAGTCCACTCCTCCACTGACAAGACCCTTTGTTTACAAGGAGTCAAACGGAGCACAGCATTTGAATATGCAACTGCCCCCTGTGGAATTCAGTCCCTGCTCTGCTCAGCTCTTATCATCATTCAGTCCAAACTGGGCTGTGGATAAAGTAATCATTATGACAATTAGAAGTGGCTGGATCCCCCACAGGTCCCAGGCATTCTATTCTGTGATGTTGGCTGCCACAACGGGATCCCAGCCACATGGGGTGGACAAGACCAGGGGAGGGCTGAGGTGTTTACTGGCAGCATCAACAGGATGGCGCTGCCTTTGCACAGAGAGGAACCTAGGCACCCAGGAGACAGGACCGATAACTGGTTTATCGTCAGCCCCATGCACATGCTTTGATTGTAATGATCTGTTTCCTCCTGCTCTTCTGTCCCCCTACTTCCATGGATCCCCCAGTGCCAATTAAGCTGAACTACACAGATAAAATACTGTTCTGTGGTTTTGTGGGCCCTTAGCTACGCTGTGGGTGTTCTTTTCCTGAAATCCGATCTCTGTACTCCAGTACCCACCACCACCACACACACACACACACACACACACACACACACACACACACACACACACACACACACACACACACACACACACACACACACACACACACATACAATTCACACACAAACTGCTCATCACAGTGGTCTCTCCAAAACTGGTTCACATTCACACACCTCAGTCTCTGATAAGAACCAAAAATTCAGCCAGCACTGGAAAAATAAAGCACACTAACTACTGCTGCTGAGAAGCATCTCCACAGCCTGATGCTGCCACCAACGTGCTTCACTGTCGGAATGATATTAACCAGGTGATGAACAGCGCAAAAGGGGATGTAGTGCTTGGAATTGTGCCCAAATGCTTACATTTGTGTTTCAGAGTCCTTTAAATACCATTTGGCACACTCCCAGTAGGCTGTTGTGTGCCTTTTTACTTAAAATGGCTTCAGTCTAGCCACTCTACCATAAAGGCCAGATGAATGGTCATCCTTCAGACAGGTTCCATCCTGCAGAGGACTTCTGTAGCTCTGTTAGAGGACTGCTGGCCTCTTGATCACCTCTGTGACCAAGGCCATTCTTGCTCGGTTATTCAGTTTAGCCAGATGGTCAACTCTAGGAAGAGTCCTGACAGTTCCAGACTAATTTATTTTCACAAATATTGAGACCACTGTGCTCCTTGCCCCAGTTTTATCAGGGAGGGAGGTCTACAGAGCACTTGTTGCTTTTTGTCTTGACATGCAGTGTGAACTGTGGGACCTTAGATACACAGGTGTGTCCCTTTCCAAACTGCATTTCTCTCCAGAGTAGCTTTGCAGTAGTTTAACGTCTCCCAGAGTAATTGATAGTTTGCAAAGTTGCATTTTCAAAGTAGTTTCCCCTACATTTGGTGATGAATAAAGACAGTGAAGTTATTTGTGAGCAACACTACAAAGCTGACTGTTCACTGACATGTATTAGCCTGCATGGTCAGAGGGTATCCAATAAAATATTTCACTAAATAAGTCACAGGATGTTATTGTGTCCCTGCTCCACTGACAGCTGCTCTACACTCACTGTGACCATCAGAGACTCAGGGCTGTTCTATTACAGACTAAAATATGTGGCCTTATTATCTTTATGATTTACTATGCCTTACAGCTGCGGTGGGATTAAACTCATGTGTATCTCACTATTTTTCTCAGACAGTGAGAATGAACTATGAATTGTATGACTCAGATGATGGATAATATCTTATTCTTGTTAGGTGGGAGGATTAGTCAGGTGGAGGGGTTGCAGTGGAGATTTGACTGTTTGATTTTACTTTGTGATTCTCACTGCACTAGTGAAAAGCGGAGATTGCTACACGTGTATTGTCTGTGTGTGAGGGAGTTGTGCACTTAAATGCTTCAAGTAGTATCAGAGTGAAGGGTGCAGACATTGTTTTGCTCCAACCAATTCATGTGGAATGTCTTTCGGCGAAGAAATGCCCACGAGCCAGTGAGGAAGGATCAAAAGGTTCAGGGTAAGAATGCATGAGCCAGCACATGTGTCACAGGGACACAAAGACCTCTTCCCCTTGCAGACTTGAAAATCTTACCATTGTCTCTTTCACTGCTTCCACCACTCACACAGGACCAGAATTCCATATAATGCAGAACAAGATGTGAGATAACAGCCACTCCTCCTTCTCCCTGAACCTCACTTTCCTAGCTTTCTGTGGAATGGCACCAACACTTTGACCATGCCAAAACCAGAGCTCCAGAGAACGGAACTGGAGGGAAAACAGGAATGCAGAAAATGAAGAATTGTGAAAAATGAAGAGATAATACCTCATGAGAAATTCAATCACAACCCCCTGCCTGGCTATGGAAGAATGATGGCAGTCATAAAAAATGTTCAAGGGAAAAATGGAGAGAATGTGTTTTAAGTTGACACAGCAGAGTCATGTGTATAGTTTGAAAAGTATTTGGAGATTTCCATTTTTTTTTTAGAACTGATGTTCTTATAACAGCCTTTCAGTTGTAAGGTGAAGGTACAATGTTTAAATGATAAAGCAGAGAATCTTGCAGCTTAGCCCTCTTCCCTCATCTTCATGTATATGTACTGTAGATTTTAAAAAGTCCCAAATTAATTAAATGGAACAAATATGCATGGTAGTAGTTGATTAAATGTAGTATGACACAAGCAGAACAAAACTGCTAATTCTAAGTGCAGCCTTTAAATCCTCAATCTAGAACTTAAAACTCTTGAAAAGTAGCTTTACAGCTCATAATATGTGAAACCTGAAATCTGTATGTTTTCTAAATCTGCTTGTCTATACAGTGTATTTGTTTTTAAGCTATGCCAAGAATATCCTGCCTACTGCAGCTTTGGCAGCAGTTTTACCATGATCAGTGGTCATGACCCATGGGTTGGCACATTGTCTTTTTGTAATCAAAGTATCCTCTGATTGGATGCATAGTGAAAGGATTTCTGATGCAGTGTTTGTTTCTTATGGCTTTGGTACGAGCTCTGCTGTTTGCCTGCTGCTGAAGGAGCTAGTCATTAGCAAGGGAGCTAATATTTCAGCCCGTTTAACCACTGTGTATTTTGTTGGTTCCCCTTTGGCTCTGGATCTAGGCCTGTTTGCAATTGTGGACTTTGACCCACCCCTTATGGCGAGTTTAGTTTGTGGATGTGGGCCACTGCATCCCCAGATCCAACATACTGTATGAGTCCAGCATTTCAAGGCAAGGTGGAGAATTTCTCCTTCGACGATTAAACTTTTTTAACATTCTTTGGAAAAGTGCAGTCAGCTCTGCTCTAACCTACATCCAGCCGTACAGTATGCTGCATCGTGTGCCACAGAAAATTCATTTTTTATTTGATTTCAGTGGTCTGACACTTAGTAGTAATCGATTTTCACAACATTTTACTTTATATTCTGATCGATGGGATCCCTGTGGCTTATCATGTTGGCCTGTGTTGTTACTCATTGGTACATTCCTTCACAAAGAGTCATGTCTTTTGCATTCATGTAGCCTATGTCACTCCTATGTTTGACTGGGCTGGGCCTAACGCAGTCTAACCAGAACTAAGAGATCCAGTAGACTAGTATGATGTGTGATCCTTGGCCTGTGATGTAGACTATACCTATTCAGAGCCTCTTTTCTGAACTCAATTTGTTTATTTTTTTTAAGGGGAGAATACCTGAAGGATGAGATAGCTGGGTTAAATGTAGACATGATGCCGTGAGACAACTTACTGAAAGTAAAATTGAATTAAGCTTTGAAGGGAGCCACACATGACCACTTCATAAACAGTCTACACACCTAAGCATTCTGTTCATTCCTTTGTCAAAATGAAATAGTGAGGGCAAAGTACAATATAAAAAGGGCTGACCTGGCTTGCATTGCCTAGGGAATGAAATGCTATAGCTGATTATTGCAGCTAGCTATGACAGGAGGACCACCAGGGTAGTGACAACTGATGTAGCTGCCTCTGGGGTGAGACAAAGGTTTACATATTACACAAGCAATTTAGATGTTTTCTAAACATGTTGCCAAGACAGTGGGAGTAGACAGCTCCTTCCTTGTGTAGGTTTCATTTTTTCTCTTTTATTCTGCTCTTCTCTCCCCTCCAATGTATGTTTTTTTTTTTTAACCAGAAAAGAGCGAGGGGATGGGGATCAAAAATCATGGACCAAAGCACTCAGCTCTCTATGAACTGTGAGTGAGCTAATAAATTCTTTCAGCCACTCAGCGTAGCATTCATGGATATCCCCCAAAGAATACACACACAAATCACTACACAATGGAGGCCTCCGGGAGGGCCTGGGCATCACGGGGGCCCCCCGACCCTGAGGACAAGCATACACAGCCAAGCTGCAGGGAAGACTGGGCAAAGACAGGGTTGTAGAGGAGGTGCAGCTCAACCCAGAGTCAAACGCCTTATAATGGTTGGTAATGGTATATTCAAGGAGGCTGGTGATGGTGTGAAGGAAAACAGGCAAGGGTGGTAAAAGAAAGAATGACAGAATAGCAGGGGTGTGAAAGGGAATGTGTGGATAAAAAAAAAAAAAGGGATTAGAGAGGTTGAAGAATTAAAGGGGGGTGGGGGGTGATAGGAGCTGCATGAAGATGGCTGAAGGGGGTGATTCCAGCCCCACACTACTGAGCAGAAGCTGAGGTGGGATGTAATTAACGTCTGGATCTTTTGCATTTCTCAACTGACTGCAGGGCGGAGATGAAAGGGGCCTGCTAAGCTTGGCATTCCACCCCAATTACAAGAAGAATGGCAAGCTCTACATCTCCTACACCACCAACCAAGAGCGCTGGGCCATTGGACCACATGACCATATACTCCGTGTGGTTGAATACACCATTTCAAGGTAATGTGTGCCAAATTTACCTTAAATTTACCTTAAATGTGGGTGGCTGACTGTCTGAAAGGACAACAACACTGTGTACACAGCATTAAATTAACTTATCTGAGGGTTATCATAAACTGGGCATGCACTTAATTAACCAAAAATAATTTTAAGATGATATAAATATTACAAAAAATACATGACAATCACAATCTGATCTGTAATTTTCATAAAGTTTAGATAAAATTCTCAAAGTCTGCTTTTCAGTGCGTGTTTTGTAAAAGTTTGTAAAAGATTTTTTAATGCAATAAGAGAAATATGTATAAAAACTTAAACTTTGTGATCACAGAATCCTGGAAGAATTGATATCGTTACTAATCATCACATTATCTGATACAGAAAGATTTTTGCCTGTCTTGGATTTGGAATGTAGGTCAAATGTGTCATCAAACTAACTCCCAACGTGTTGCTAAATACATGATGGGTGTTCATTTGCAACACTCAACATGATACTGTTTGCTGTGCTGATGCCTCACACTCCCTTCACAATAGCTTGTGATTACAAAAACCATCTTTTCTCACGAATGTCTCGCATTTAAGTGTTACATTTTAATTTGCATAATCACAGGTGAATGTTTGACTTAATGATCTAATCTTAATTATAGTGTTGGTGCGCAGTCGCCATGACTGCAGCGTATATTCCTTAATTTGAGGGTCCACTAGAGAAATGACAGTTAAAGTATTTGAAGGTAGTTTAAAAGAGTAATTTTTTTCTTTGGCAGGCACCTTTTTAAAAATTGCACGGCTACCCAAAATAACACATCATGAAATATTTGTTGCTGCTACTGTGAAGCCAAATCCTCACTTTTCACTAGAAATGGTGCAACATTTTGAGCCCTCTGTTGCCTCTTCAGAGTTTCAACCACTGTCTTTGCTTTAATGAGGCAGCGCATTAGATATAGACGAAATGTCTCCAGAAAATAAACTATTTAAACGTGTTTAATGTTGTTTGGTATGTCTTGTCAGCATTTCCAATCCGTGCCTTGGGATCATTTTACCCACTAACACAGTCATTCTTTAAGCTAAGAAGAGGCAATCATAGTGTGTACTCATTTATAAAATCATGTCTTACATGCTATATTTCAACACAGTGCACTGCATTTCTTCAGTGGCTTTTACCCCATTCAGGATGCAGTTTCAGTCCACCTGGCATCCAAAAGCAACATGGCACGACAATATTACGGTGTATAGCTTTAAATATTTATGAGACTGTATAAAATGCAGGTATACTGTAGCAATATTGTAGATACCCCTCGTAAATATTAATCACTTTGCTGTGTAGTAACCATCATTTTTGTACCATGATGACAGACACCTGATGGCAATGATGTTTTACGATTTCCTCAGGAAAAATATAAACCAGGTGGACACCAGGACAGTTAGAGTGCTAATGGAAGTGGCAGAGTTGCACAGGAAGCACCTAGGAGGCCAACTGCTCTTTAGCCCTGATGGTCTGTTACACATTGTCCTGGGAGATGGCATGATCACCCTTGATGACATGGAGGAAATGGATGGACTCAGGTGAGATCACAAGTTAGAGGCTTGTGTATAACGAGTGCTTTTGTATGCCCCACAACTGAATCTTTTCCTAACTTGTACCATCATGAAGGTGTTGTTTATATGTGTGTTTGAATGCAGTGATTTCACAGGGTCCGTCCTAAGGGTAGATGTGGACACAGACTGTTGTACGTCACCCTATTCCATACCGCGGAACAACCCATACTTCAACAGCACCAACCAGCCACCTGAAATCTTTGCCCATGGATTACATGACCCAGGCAGGTGAGTGAAACATATGATGACAAACTTCATCAACATCATAGAGAAAAACCTAAGCAGTTCCTTGCCAAAATTATCCGCTCTTCAGAATTGTTCTACTATGCCTGATGCCAACAACATTTATTTTGTCAACGAAAATCAGTAGCTTACAAAAACATTTATCCTAATATGCTGTTCTATTACTGTTTTTTGGAAAGGGTTTCATTAACTCAGACTGTTGTGATTCCAGCAAGCCACCTTGCAATTGGTTGGTGTGAAGGCATCACCTCTAATTCTCCTGAATTCCTCCCTTGTATTCTGTGTTGTAGGTGCGCAGTAGATCGGCTTCAGACAGACAATGGGAGTCTTTTTATCCTCTGTACAGATGCCAGTGGCAAGAACACATCAGCAGGACGAATACTGGAGATTGCTATGGGGAAAGATTATGGTGAGCTACAGTTTCCATGAGATTTTCCAAAAATGGTGATATTTACCTTTTGTGAGTTTGGAAGGAGTTCATTATTTCTGCGATATTGATGCAACTCATGATAAAAATAAGTGAGTGCAACTTTTGCCTAAGATTTGTTTGATGGCATTACATCTTGAGAAAGAAATAAAAGTCCATTAACCTCTTGAGTAACCTTTCATATTTGTTCAGCTGAAAATGACATCTGCTCTTGTGAATGTCTTTCATTTTGTAAGAACATGGTGTTTTTGCAACACGTTCAGAAAACACACTGGGCTGTGTGCAGAGATACTGAAGGTTAGAGGTAAAAATGATGTGAACTGAAAAGAGTCTCCCCTTGTGGAATGTAGATTTTCCAGGGGAATGTGAGATTGTGTCCACAAGTAAGATTTAAAGCTGTCAACAACAATAACTGTCTAGATGATGGCTTACCACTGTTGAAAACACAGCTGAGAGGGGCCTAGTTCTTCCCACATTGAGAAAATAATCAATAACAGCAGCACATTGACAATGCTCAGCTTACTTCCCTTCATAAAAAAAATTCTGTTCTTTGTGTCACATTACATTGGGCTGGTTATCTATGCTACAGTAATTGTTGCTTTGGTAACCCACATTAATTGAACCTTGATCTCTCACTCCAATTTAAAGTGCTGGTTCTTGTCACAGCTCGCCTATCACCTGGCTAAATGCCTGATGTAGCCAGCTACCTAAACTCTAAAGTGATTATTGTTGGGAAATGAACACACTACCTTGGATCGTACATTTTAAAAGGCAACAAACCTCCATTCATGTTTTCCTTTGCCAGGACAACTGAAATCCAGAAAACATGTCATGTTGCCTCAACATCACACACAGTATAATAAAAGATAAAATAAAAGATTAATACATTCTCGTCCAGCAGACAAAGACAAAGTCTAAGTTGCCTGCTGAG